CATCTCCGTGTGCCACATCTCTCCTCTGAACTGAGCTCACAAACTGACAGCTCACAGGCATGAAACAGATGTCTCCCAAGCCACGTCCACCGACCCCAATCTCGCCCCCCCCCCCCAAAACCAGGATGATGGTTGCGTGTCGAGGTCCCCAAGCCACCCCCCAAATAACTCACAACGCACACTTAATTTTTGTTTAAGGTTTTTGGCATAATTTTGGCCACAACTTTATTTAAATACAAAACCGTGAGTGGTTGTTTAGGCATTGGTTAAGACTATCTGTCCCCCCGCCTGGGGACAGAACTGACTTCCGGGCACCACCGAAAGCCAGTGCGGGAAAACAAGTCGGGGAGAAATGGAGCTGAGTCACAGACCCTCAATTCTCATCCGCATGCTCCCCGAAGGCTTGCCGGCCCTAGTCCCATTCCAGGGATTGGACGAAAAGATGGCAAGCCCCAGGATTCCTTTAACGGAATTCCCTTTCCGCAGCAACCATGGAGGGCAGGCCCAGCCTATCCTAACCCCTCCTCCACCAATTTATAACCAATGCCTAACCGCCAATCGAGCCCTTTACGCTCGCCGCCAACCACTCACAATCCCAACCCAACCTTCAACCTTGCAGTTACCGCATCCAACCAAACATCATTCCCCAGTGCAGAGAGATGTACTCCATCATTGCGGTAAAGGGCCAGAGCCTTGAAGGTAATATCCAGGCGGGAAATAACCAATCCACCCAAATCCGCCACCTTCTTACACACTGCAGAATTAATGCGCTTCCTGGCCCTTTCAGCAGCCTCAGGTCGAGAAATGCCGTGCCAATTGCGCCTTTGCAGCAATTGTGACCAAAATATTTTAACTGTGGGTATTAAGGTCACCAATTCCCCCAAGTCTCTCTGAATCACGGAGCGCAAAGTAAAGCAATCATAAGTTGCCACATCGTTCTCCCCCAGCTGAACCACAATTGCCATGGGGGGGGGCATCCGAAAGCACCCTCTGCTTAATTAGCGGGATGAATTCGCTCCACTGCATTCTGCGCCTGGACATCCACAACACCTGCACATGCTGCGGGAGGCCAAGACCCAGTCCCCTTCCAGACTGCCTAGCTCTGATGCCAGCCCAGTAAACGATGCTGTGCCCCACAATCCAGATGCGGACTGGAGCTAGAAACATGGGCAGGAAGGCCGAGATGGCGCCCCCAGTCCAGACTCGTCAGGGTGCTTGCCAGCTCAGTGCATGATGCTGTGGCCGACAATCCAAATGCGCACAGCTGCTCCTATGAAAAAGGAATAACAGACAGGCATCAGCACAGGCATCATTGGCGATGCTTCCTGACATAACCTTTGTCAGCGTCAGACTTCCAATGACCCGTATTCACAATCCTGTCTACTAACAGGCCCCAATGCGCAGCCTTTGCAGCAGCACCTATTTAGAAGGAATGAGGCGTGTTCAGCGGTAGGCAAGCCACAGGCTGCAATAACTGGCGCACGACGGGAGCAATTAGATGCCTGTCGAACCGGAACCCATTTCTGTGCACTAGGATCGAGCCAGCCCCCAGGGGAACGAAAAGCCAAATATTTCCGGTATCCAATAACAGGGCAAGGGCCCACCTCACCTGTGACTGGAAGCCTGATGGTGGCAACCCTGCTCACTAGGTCTGACTTAGAGCTCCAGACACTTATGACAAGCTCCAAAGCAGATAAGGAAAAGTCCTGAGGCAATAAATGTTTCCAATGAGATAACAAACTCGAGGCAGCCCACCGCCTGTCCAGGTACCCCTGCTTGCCCTTTAGAGGGAAGCACCTCCTCAAGAAACCCAAAGTTCTTTTTGGGAGCAATATCACAAATGGGCCAAACTACCCAGCAACAAAATAGTCCAAAAGGAGCAGCTTGTTTTGCCTTGTTATAACAATGGCTAAGTGGGGATATGAACCCTGTCTCCCAGGTCCTAGTCCTGTACTCTAGCCACTAAGCCACAATGGCTTGTCTCTAAAATGGCAGTCGCCACTATCAGGAAAAACAAACTTGAAGAAAATAAACTTGTTCAGAAACAGCATAGTTAAAGAGCATACAAAGAGTGCTCATTGGAGGCACAGAGAGCCTCTGGCTCCACTCTGTCTGCCTAAGCTATACATTAGCAACAAGTGAGCCTGCAAACAACAGATACATTCTTATAGAGAGAATGAGTCACATGTCACAGAAACTTAACAATTTACTGTACTGCTAACTGTAGCAGGCTTAGGCTTGAATGATATGTGCAGGCCTCCCTGCTTCTGCTCTCTGCCTTTTTTGTCTCATTGCAATATTAAAGGAACTCAAAATAGTGCTCCCGCCCAAGGCTAAATTAAAACTCGGCCAACAGCACTGCAATCACCCAAAATAAAGCCAACCTATGGGGATACTATAAATGAAAGTGATTCCAGGTAAGCTGGGAGCAGCCCTGGCTAGCCCCACAATTAAACAGGCGAAAATGGGAAAAAACTTTTTGCAAAAGAAAGCCCCTAATTGGGGCTCTCTCCCTATTGGGAAAGGCAAGCCCAGGAGGATTATGCACAGGCAGCGCTCACAGGTACAGGGAGAATCTTCCCAAAGGGCAGGGTAGGGGGTGGGAAATCAAACAGAAAAAAGGGGGAATTAAATTAATTAAGGGACTAGAGAAGATTAAAAAGAAGGGGAAAATAAAGAAATGTAACCAGACAATGAGACAATGAGAAGATCGCTCCACTGTCCTCCAGATGGTCCAAGTGCTCCTGGTACTCCGTTGCACGCAGCAAAGAGAAAGCTCCAGGCTGTGTGCAGAGTATTTAAACATTTTACCCCTCCCACCAAAATTGCAGCATAACTTTTACCCCAGCAACCCAGTGAACCAATCACTGCCCCAGGCCATCTTTAGAGACCCTGCCTGGTAACAGAGGGGTGGCTCAGCAGACCCCACCGCAACACGTGCTCTCCATGAAGGAGAACACGCTTTGTATACATGCCCAACAAATGAAAACATTGAGGATCCATTCTGGGTCTTCTGAAAAAGCTGGATTTTTATTTATTTTTATAGTACAAGAAAAAGCAGGGTTTTTTTTTATTATTACATTATTCTGGAATACTAGCTAAATAATGATAACACTCTGTGGCAGCATGCCAAACATATCCGAAAAACCAGGAACTACATACCTGCCAGGATGCTGTCAGTGGCTGGTTGCCCAGGGAAGAATAAAGACAAGGAAAAGTTTCTTACCATCTTTTTTATTTCAGTCTTTACAGAGGGAGGCTATAGAACCCAGCCTCTTGGATAATGGTATTGTCCCAAGTGAATCTCCACCCCGTTTCTCTCACTTTCTCATTCGTCATTCTCATCACCTCCTCTACGGGTGCTGCTACGTGCCCTCTGTCCTCAAGCTCTTTCCTCTCCTACTTTTAAGGCTTGCTGGGTTCTGGGAAATGGAGGCTCTGGAGTGATTTCTAATGACAGCATGTCAGCTGGGTGTTGTTCCAGCTCTCCCATGATTTCCCAACTTCCCCCCTCACCTGCCTCTGAGCTGCGACCTCCCTCAAACCCCTGTTGTAAATCTATACTGTCTTCCTCTTCCTCCTTCCTGGAAGGGTCAGGATGGGGAGACGGTCTCCACCATTCCTCCTTTGCCCAGTCCCTGACAATACCATTTTAAATGCTAAGTGTGGAAATCACACACACACACACACACACGGGTGGTAAACAGTGAGGTCAAAAGGGGGGGGGGGAATGCAGTAAATAAATGAATTGATGGTGATGATGATGATGATACAAATCCTCCTGTTGAAATAAATCATTCAATACATGTTAGAACAAGCATCTAATTTCCCTCTTTGCTCTCTTCTAGTTATTCTTCTGTGATGCACTGTTATTCTTGGTCAGATTTTTCAAATCAAACAAGTAAGAAATAACTTGGCATCCTTTGATCTAAAAAAAATCACCAATATAAAATTGTTTGGACATGCTGATAAAAAAAACAAAAAAAACTTGACATCACATATCAGCTTCACATCTTTTATTCTTTTTCATAAAGAAATCCCAAACAGGATAAAAAATAATTGATCAAATAAACACGGCGACGTGTATAAAGGGCATAAAACTTTAAGGCACTGAATAATTTGAGGATTATTCTAGCAACAGCAATAATTTACACTACCCAAAAGTGATGCTGTATTTTTATGATGCTCTGATCTTCTTCACGCCAAGGGCCAGGCTATAAAGAGGCATGTTCCAAGAACAATCAAAGATTGTTAACGCTGGCATGATTGATTGATTGATTGATTGGTTGGTTGATTGGTTGATTGATTGATTTATCCATCCTTTCTGCTCATTGTTGACCCTCCTCTTAACAGACTGGGAGGGATGGGAGCAGAGGAACCAATAGAGGCAGATAAGGAGACATTTGTGGGGTAACAAAAACAAAACACGTAGGAGATGGACTGTGCTCAATGAGCAACAGAGAATTCCCACTGCTATCCCAATGGGGAAGGGTCATATTGAGGCCCACATCCAGGTTGCTTTTTTATTATTATTTCTAGGGGGAGATATTTCACTGCTGTACATGTATGGGTGGGAATAGGGAAGGACAGATCTGTTAATTTTGGTTTCTCTCCACCCCCAATTCTAAGTTCAGTTTCCTACATTTGCACATCAGCCTCAGAATTTCTACCAATCTACCAAATATTTGTATGCAATTTTGCTTCTCCAAAGCAATTTCCCCAATATATACTGCATTTCTGTATATTTTCGCTAATATATGCACATATATATGCACATTTACCCCAAACAACAACAACAGCTGGCCAAACAACTGCATTGTAAAAACTGAAGAGGTGCAATTTTTGAAGAATGGCTGTGTTTGGGTTTACATATTGTTTTGGAAAGTGTAAATAAAATTAAGGAACTGGGAACTGCACCAAATGGCACTTACTTCAATTCCAGGATTAATATTAAAAGTTATGCCAATACTTTTTCACATGTCATTCAGTATAAGCTGATTCCATGCTGTTAAAAGTGCTCCTTTGAAAGAGTGTGTGCTTCTTAATTTGTACAGATCAACAACTGTACATCCCTTGAACGTTAGACATTGAGAGCTAGTGTGGGGAGGAGGCTAGAGTGTTGGACTAGTACCTGAGAGATCAGGGTTCAAATAGCCACTCAGCCATGAAGTTCACTGTGAGACCTTGAGCCAGTCGCTACCCTAGCCTAACCTATAACAACGGGCTATTCTGGGGTTCAAATGAGGAATGGGACAACCATGTACACCGCCTTAAGTTCCTTGGAGAAAAGGGCGGGATACAAATGCAATAAACAAACAAACTGGATAACATTTCAGTGTAGTGCTCAACTATTTGTGTACACAGGTACAGAGATTGTACACTCATCGAATGTAACATGTGAACAGAACCCCTCTAGTTGAAAGCTGAAACAGAATCGAGGAGTGGGATACAATGTAGAATAAACATCCACACAAATAATGCAGGGATGGGAAAGCTGTATCGCTCCAGCCATTGGCAGTCATTGACCATCAACTATCCTTGCTGGCTGTCTTGGATGGGGGTTTCTCAACAACTGGAAGACACAAGTAGAATCATAGAATCAGGAGGGATGCTGAGTTCAATCCCCTGCAATGCTGGAATATGCAGCTATCCCATATGGGGATCGAACCTGCAACCTTGGCATTATCAGAATGCTCTAACCAACTGGATACTGGACTCAATGGACACACAATCTGACCTGGTATATTACAGCTTTCATATAAAACAAAGGTGACCAATCCAACAATTGCTGGCAGGCAAGCATCCTGATAAGCAGCAAAGACTCTCCAGCACTTTTATGTAAGTTTATTTACAAGAAAAAAACACCCAGAGCACGGTGAACAGTGTGCTCTCATTAACAGTAGTTGTTCAATCTGACTCGTCGTCCCTCCCCCAGAAGGAAGAATGCCAAAGACTCGCCTTTCTCCTCCTTCCCTTCCACTGCTCTCTGAGCTTCTCTAATCTCCTAGTGCGGGGACTGAAATGCTGGCCTGTCTCTTCCCCACTCCCAGAAGACACAGCCCCTGACTCTGGCTTATCTGCTGGTTTCCTGGCAATGCTCTGGCTGACTTCCAACTCTTCCTCTCCCAGGGAGCTGGCAGTGTCTTCCATGGGAAGGAGGGGGGTTGGGCTGTCTTCTCTAAACTCTGACAGACAGCTCTCCTCTGCAGAGTCAGCCCCTTGCTCGCTTAGTTCAATTTCTGGGGCTGACTCTTCTGCTGCGTCCTGGGGGTCCACGTTCCTGACAGCCAATGTGTTATCCTCATCGTCCCTGACCACGGGTCATGGTGGCTGGGTTAGATGAGAGTTGAAATCCAGCAATATGTGAATAGGCACAGGTTCCCACACTGGCCTGCAATGACTGGAAATTCCCATCCCTACCTATAGGTGCCAATGGTTAAATCTGCAGCATTTAGGTGTGCTCTACCAAGGAGATAAGCCAGGAGCATTTTCCAAAGAAATATGTGGAGTGCCATGGATTTCCCATCCCTGACATAAAGAAACAGAATGGGGGTGCTCTGGGCATCATTTATCCCAGGTCATCAGCAGTTATTGCCCTCTCCTCTCCAGCCTCATTGTTTTCAAAAGTAAGAGACTAGGATTGGAAGGAGGATCCAACATTCCAAAATATGTAACTCCCATTGTTCTGCAATATGGTTAGCAGAATGAAAACTGTGTTACAGCTAACCCATCATTTCAACCCAGCACGGCAATATTTCTATATATCCCCCCCCCCCCCCGAAACACTCTACAATAGGCTGAAAAATGCACTTCCTGCAATGATTCCCCAAGGGAGAAGTTTCTAAAGAAATGTCACTCACAGTGATAAAGAAGGAATATCTCAGCTGTGTGTGTGGCGGAGTTGGAGGTGGGGGGGACTACCACTTTCACAAACTACATTTATGTGGGCTCAGCTTTCAAAAAATATATCCACACAGCAGTTAGAATTGCCGCAAAAAAAGAGTCTCACAAAACAGTGCTAGGCACAATATACTCTCCTAAAGTGATGTTGAATATTTTTAAGGGCTGGGTTGAATTTATGTGGGCATATATTTCCAGAGTGAAAAGGGGAGTTTCAGATCCCCAAACATATTGCCATTTTTATACCATTTTGCTCCACTTCACTACAGCTTTTAGCAGTTGCTTTGACTATATATATGTGTGTGTGTGTGTGTGTGTGTGTGTGTGTGTGTGTGTGTGTATTTCCAATGGTTAGCTATATGATCCAGCCAATAATGGATCATCTAGCCGCTGTTATGACATCACAGTTTGCAAAGCCAATCAGATCTGCCCAAACTGTAAGACCAAAATTAAAATGAAGGCAGTGCTTTCTGTCCCCTTTTTAAATGAAAAGCAAATAAAAATGGGAGGTTGCCTGTTCTTGATAGGGTTACACATCTTGGGGGTACTCCTGGATCCTTTGCAGTTGCTCAAGGCTCATGTGGCCTCACTGGCTTGGAGTGCCTTCCATCAGCTTTGGCTGGTGTCCCAGTTGCGCCTCCATCTGGACGGAGATTTCTGTTGTTTATGCTCTTGTAACTCTTAGGTTAGATTACTTTGACGTATTATAGATAGGGCTGCCACTAAAGATGGTTCAGAAGCTCCAGCTGGTATAGAATTTGGCAGCCAGCTTACTCACTGGGACATGATGATTTGAGCATATTACACCAATCCTGGCCCAATTACACTGACTACCAGTAAGTTTCCAGGCCCAATTCATTTTGCTGGTGCTGACCTATAACATCTTAAATGGCTCAGGACCTCATTACCTCAAGGACTGCTTCTTCTTATATGAACTGACCCAGATCCTACGATCATCATCTGAGGCTCTTCTTCATGCACCTCCTCCATGAGAGATCTGGAGCATGACAAAGTGAGGATGGGCCTTTTCTGTGGTGGCTACTCACTTGTGGAATGCTCTCCCCATGGAGGCTTGCCTGGTGCCTTCATTACATATATTTAGTTGCCAAGCAAAAATGTTTCTCATCAACCAGGCATTTGGCTAATTAACATTTTCTAACCTTTAAATGTGTCTGTGGGAGTGGGGGTTAATGGTTTATTTTGTTTTTGCTTCAATGTGTACTTTTCATTTTGTATTTTTATGCTGTTAACTGCCCTCTGATCTTTGGCTGAAAGGCGGTATACAAATTTATTAAATAAGTAAATAAACAAGCACTTTTGCAAAGTTAATGTACAAAATGCATTATATTGGAGAAATTGCACATATTAATTGAAATGCAAACTGATAAGGAAATAGAGAGAACTGAATACTGGGGAAATGAAAAACCCAAAACTAACATATTCCTCCATCCTTGTCCACACATTGCTCTCTTTTCTTGTTGAGATACCAATTACAATGTATTTTCACCATTGCTTCCTTCTGAGTTCAAGCTCCATATGAGAGCTACCTAAGGAGAAACACCTCTGGAGAAAATGAAACAAGAGCAGCCAGTGGACTCCTTTGAAGAATGGAGGTTTCCTGGTTTGAATTAAGGTTTATCAGAATTAAGGTTCTGATAAAATCTATTGCACCTCATTGTGATTACCATATTTTCCCGTGTATACGACTAGGGTTTTTTTTTACCAAAAAAAAAAAAAGTTTAAAATGGGGGCTCGTCTTAAACATGGGTAGTGCTGAGGGGTGTTTTCTTAATTTGGAGTCCCCAGAAATAGGGGGTGTCTTATACGGGGGGGGGGAGCGTCTTATACATGAAAAAATATGGTATGCCAGATTGAACTACATTAATTGATTTGTTTTCATAGCCTTGGTTATCAACAAGTCAACAGCAATTTAATATAAGTTAATATTTTCAGCATGAACGTTAATGTCAAGCATTGTCTTAACCAAGTTGTCTAACAAATTAGATTAGATTATGTATAGACTCAGGTTTCAATAACAAGCATAAGTCATCTTCAAATACTCTGATATTGCAAACTATTTTGCATTTTACTTTTTAAGAACTGCTTGTTAATCGTCCAAGAGGTAAGTTGTTTGCATTTCCATCCGACATTGTTTAAAATATGTGTGATGTGGACAGTTTCTGATCCATTCAAGACATTCATCATATTGATGTCCCCATTCAATTTTGGGGGAGGGGAAGAGAAATAAGCAAAAGAGAGCTGAAATAATAAATTATCCTGTGGTATAATCTTTAAGCTGCGAAAAGCAATACCTTAAGGCCTGCATGCATTATAATTCATTCTGTGCAACCTGGATGAAATGATCATGATGGAAAGGCATCATTAACTTGGCTTGACCAAAAATGAAATAATATATTGTTGCAGCAAGTTGGATAGAGCTGTGTTTGATGTTTACAGGTTGCTGTAGACCATTCATTTAAAAGATGCTGTAGAAATGGCACGAAAATAAGGGGTGGAGGGATGAATAAATCAATTTAGCCTGGGAATTGCTAGTGTGAAAGTTCAACCTGTATCCCAATTATTCAAAAAGGTTCTGTGACATTTTAACCATTTCATAGATAGTGGCATGTCATAAGCATCAGCCTATTTCATCTCATGCATGATATGGATTCATCCTGTAGTTCAGCCACCACCTTTTAAAATGGGAGCCATGAGTAACAAGTTGAATCAGTGTCAATACCTTGGAATCTAGGAGGTCAAGTTTAAATTTCTAAACCATATTCACTATCTGTTAGAAACTTCCTGTGATTTCAGATGTCTAGGAGATTCCCGGAGATAGGTTGTAAAGCACTAGAAAGTTGCTATTTCTGTATAAATATTCTCTATTTGTGGCTGTAGGAATATTGAAGTCTTTCCAGTCCACTATATCAAGTTCTAAGAAGAGATATCTGAACATTAGTTTTCAGACAGATTGTTATTATTGATAAGTCATGTAAGATGCTTTGCCATGACTAGTAGTCATACTGGTACGATTACTTTCAGTAGTAATTAAGATATATCAGAAAGTGTCAGCATTTGCATTTGTGACTGGAAGAATGTTGTGGCATCAATGTTTGATTTGTAAAGATGATTTTTCAGTCAATAGCCAATAGTACCATCTGTACTGAGATTAGATTATACTATTGGCTATTGACTGAAAAATCATCTTTACAAATCAAATATTGATGCCACAACATTCTTACTGAGAATACTGAATTTATACTGAGATTGGGACACAGGTGGCGCCGTGGTCCAAACCACTGAGCCTCTTGGGCTTGCCAATCGGAGGGTTGGCGGTTCAAATGCATGCAACGGGGTGAGCTCCTGTTGCTCTGCCCCAGCTCCTGCCAACCTAGCAGCTTGAAAGCACGCCAGTGCAAGTAGATAAATAGGTACCGCTGTGGCAGGAAGGTAAACAACATTTCTGTGCACTATGGCACTTATCACAGTGTTCTGTTGCGCCAAAAGTGGTTTAGTCATGCTGGCCACATGACCTGAAAAGCTGTCTGTGGACAAACGTCGGCTCCCTTGGCCTGAAAGCGAGATGAGCGCCACACCCTATAGTTGCCTTTGACTGGACCTAACTGTCCAAGGGTCCTTTCTTTACCTTTTAACTTACTGAGATTATTATAATGTTATACTGAATTTATTACTATATCTCTATCAGGAATATTTTAGCTGTTAAGTTGCTATTTCACTTAAAAATAAAATTATGACAGTATTGATATGGGTGAAGGTACACCAAAAGATATACACAAAGATCAGACAGTGAGGATATGAGACAAATAGAAACCGAAATAATTCACTAGGTATACCTTGGAGTATGTAGTCAGAAAGGACCACCACTTGTTGCTAGCAGCTGCTGGGGCTGCAAGTGGGGAACTTACAGGTTTGAACTCTGCTACTTCCTGTAGTGAGCTACTCAGAGATGCAGATCAAAGGGCTATGTTTTTGGACTACAATTCCCATCATTTCTGACGGATGGCCATGCTACCTGAGGAGTCCAACAACATTGAGGAAGGATAGTAAGATATTAATAGAGCATCAGCTTTGCGTGCAGAAGATTCAAACCCTGGCATCTCCAGGTAGAGCTAGGATTGTCCTCTCTCTGAAATCCTGGAGAGCCTCTGCCAGTCAGACACAGTATAGACTGAGCTTGATGAACCAATGGCCGAATTTGGAATAAGGCAGCTGCTTGGTAGACTCCCTTCAGGCCCTGGTGCCATGGATTCATGCCCTCTGGTATGCATCCTTGCTAGTTTCCTGGGCTGCCAGTATTCCTGCACCCCAATTCCAAACAAATGTGTTTCGTTGGGGTAAGTTGTCAAAATATTTCTGGGCAAAACAAAAACAAAGAAACACAATGATACATTTACCATCAAGATCACCTGGAGTTTTAAAATGCATTTGTTGGAAACCTGCCACAATGGACTATCGATCTGCTTGCATGAAAAGCATACATAGGCAACTAAGGTTGAACTTGCCTTAGAAAAGGAGGCATGTTTGAGAACATCCATGACATGACGTGATTCCAGTACTTTGTTTTACCAAGCTTCTTGTTAATTTGAGATTGTATTTAGTGTGTCTGTCACTATAAAGCACAACAACATTTAGGCTGTATGGCCATTTACCCAGGGGAAAGTTAGGGCCCTCAGATAGAGGTTAAGCATGGCAATCCTCTGGAATGCACTCTCTTTTGAAAATTAGCTTGATTTGAGTTGAATATGTACGCTTTTCATGTACAGAACTCAAAAATCCATTGTTGCAGGGTTTTCAAAGGAGTCCCTTTTTTTTAACAACCTCCCACGGCTGAAGACTAAGCAGGAAACTACAGTACATCATTCATCAAACAATGTGGAACAAATTACACATGCCCTCATTAGCAATTACCTGAGAAACCTTCCTTCAGCCTACTTTACGCAATAATGACAGCTAATAATGGGTTCCATGACATGGCTGACCTATGAATGACTTCACACAAAGCTGTTCGGTAACCTTTAAAAACATAATTATACCTGCCTTTCCAGTGTACACTATTATTTCAGTGAATGTGAAGCACACAGATCTTGCTATGCATGCCACTTGAATTGGTGGTTATCTTGAATTCTGATAAAACTCACAGTATGTCCACTATGCATAGGTTTGAGCCTCAGATCAGTAGAAGATGCATAGGCACTTCATACTTTCTAGACCTTGTCCAAAGTACACAAGGATGGGACCTTGTTCAGTCACCTCCCAACATACATTCGTTTAAGCAGCCAAAGGAAAACCTGAAGTCCAACATGATGATCAGTTAAGGAAAATGTAAATGTAACAACTATAATTGAAGTAAATGTAGCAACTATAATTGAAAATATATATCTGCGTTTGACACCAGTGAGCGCAGTAATGACGTACAGTAGAGCAGAAATGGGAGACCCATGTGGCTGCTGGACTACAGCTCCTATCATCCATGGCCTTTGATAGCACTGGCTGGAGCTGATGAGAGGTGGAGCCCCACATCATCTGATGAAGCACATGTTTTTCTACCCATGGTATATAGAGCAATGGGGATATCATCAGTGCAAAGGCAAAGGAACATAAGAAGATCCCTGGTACCTCAGACCAAAGTCTGCAAAGCCCAGCATTCTTTCAAGCCGATCATGGGAATCTCACATTCAGATGTGTAACTAGGGGTTGGTGAAACTGGACCCCACTGGTGGCACAGGCCCAGTGTGTGTGTGTGTGTGCACGCGCACAAACAAAAATAACCCCACATCTCAGACAATGGAGAGTATGCTCTGCTGCTGTCACTGTGAGAGAAGCTTCCCGTCTCGCACCATGGTACAAAAAATAAATAAAAATGCCCTTCTTTCTTGCCTTGCCCTTACTCCAGATGTTTCAAGTACTTGGGTTGCATAAAATATAGTAGTTTGTAATGTGGCTATTGCAGTAAGTAATTTTTTTTTCCTGGGTGGAAGCCCAACCAATACAGCTCCCTGTGAAGGGTGCAAGGGACACTAGGTATACCTCTGTCCACATATAGGACATGAGCACAATAGCTCTCTTGTGATCCTTTACAACTGGTATTCAGAGTGACGCTGCCTCTGATACTGAAGGTAATATAGCCATCATCACTAGTAGCCACTGATGAGCAGGTAAGGTGGTAGAAGTCCAAAATATACTTTAACACATGAGAACACTCCAATGTATTAAATTCCCCTTGCTGGTCCTGGAACACACGACACAAAAATATCAGTTTTGATCAGAGAGTGCAAGTAATCTGATGAGTCTCTTGAATGACTTCAAAGAATGTAATTTCAAAATGTTGTGATGCAGTATCAAAAGAACATGGAATGTGTGCTTCCCCCACCCTTATATTTAGAACCAAACTTCATTTGCTTTTTCAATCAGCCAGCCTGACACTTCTTCTCCAGCTAAACCCAGCAGTGTGAGCATATGCCCCAGTCTCCCCCATCCACATGCACACTATTCATTCCTCTTAAAAGTCTTTTAACAAGGCCTACACTTAAATATTCTCTTTTTGGATCCAGTAGGAGCCTTCAAAGCCGATTATCTTGAAAAGGCTATATGAATCTATAGTGAAATATTTATGGTAACTTGTCACCAGCACCTTCATATTGCAATATTTCTTTTTGTTGTCCATCCTTCTTCCTCTGCTTAATGACAGTATTCCAGTGGTAGTGAAGAAGTCCATGTGCTGGTAATGATGCTCCACTACCCATGTGATTGGGATATAAGATGGTTCCTGTCATTTTCCTTTCACTCAAAGATGAAGGTGGGTAAAAAGGACTGTCTACTTAAGTATTTATAGGCAGTGTTTATTTTTCCACAACAACAGTGATAACAGCCTGACACATGCCAGGAATATTATTGAAGCAAATTTGCACATTATCTAGAATGGGAAAAAATTATACTGAATAATTCATCTTGCTCTAGCCAGTGGTGTGGCGCTTTGGAGTAATTATTGTGTATAATGACATCACTTATTCTCTCCTTTCTACAAAGTGGGCTGTATGCAACATTGTCTACTAGTGCAAGGGATCTTGTGCTAGTGATGGGTAAATTTTGATGTTTAAATGTTGCACAACAGAGGAATCAAATACAATGGTCGCACAAGCAGAAACTTGTTGAGCAACGGATTGCACAATCTATTGTGCAACAAAGTAATCAGCAACCTGCTTATGCATTTGTGTGTGTGTGCGTGCGTGCAACAATGACGTTCTACTTGTGCAAAACATTTCACTAGCAGGATCAGTTTACCACTCTGTGACTTTAACTTAGTGCTTCATTGGATTCCACCTCTGAAATGTAACTTATGTCCTTGTCATTTGCAGTGATTTTAGCACAACTCTTGAGAAAAAAACTTCAATAAATGGTGGGCTTTCTGTAGGGTGAAGTGTTGTCATGATTCAATAAATAAATAACAGAAATGGCCATTTCCATAGGTCTGCCTCCACATGGGTGATCTCACTGTGTAGTATGTTGGGATGCTCCTAAGTACATTATTGTGAAGTCAAACCATTTTCTTACATTATTTCAGCACAGAGTTTGAGCAACTGCAAAGGAACAAGTTTGGACTGAGTAAAGTATTTTCTGGGGAACATTTTCAGTGTAGGGTGGGGAAAAGAGTTTTTATGGACTTGGGTGAGGGCAAAGTGTTTCTTCAAAGATAATAAAAAGTGTACACTTTCCTGACTGTTCACTAATGTTTACAGCTTTCTCAGCTAAATGCTTCCATACCGTATTTTAAAATTTTAACTTCAGTCCTCTTTGTAGAAACGACATTGTCGCATAAAATAACTTTTGGCCATGTGATGATGTCACATTGTAAAAAGCAAAGTGAATTGAGAGCAGGGGCAAGAAGAATGATGGTTTGAAGTAAAAACTGAATTGAAGTAAAAAGAGAATTCCAAAGGAGGTCGCAAAATGAGGTCTGGCTATGTGACGATGTCACAGAAGGGGGAAATGAAGGTACATAAGAGTGAAGGCAAAAAGAGTGCTACTTTGAAGGAGCTGGGCAAAAGCTGCCACCAGCTGATTTACAGAGATAATTGCAATAGAGCTCAAAGCAGAGCATGATAGCGAGGTACACGGAAGGTCTTAGTTTTCCTGAACATCTCTCGGGGGCATCTTCTCTTTTCTCTGCTCCCCACTGCAACAACCATAAAAAGCTTTTTTTTAAGGTGCTGATTAGGAAGATAAAGCCATAATGGAATGGTTATTATTGGGCCTCTTAGCACACAATTCTTTCATAATTTCATCTCTTTTGCTCAATGATGCCAGAGAGAGAGAGAGAGAGAGAGAGAGAGAGAGAGAGAGAGAGAAACTTAACTCAAAGCTAAATGTATGCTTTTGGGCAGCATCGTGGCTTTCCTGAAAGCCACTTTCCCTTATTGTGAACTTGACTAAAACACAATGGTGAGTAACTGTTCTGCTTTTCTTACTAGGTCTAAATTGAGCCGCTTCTGAAATAAGCAATAAGAGAATGTCAAGTCTTAAGTGAAAGCAAGTCCCTGAAGAGTGATTTGAAGGTATAGTCTGCTATTAGAGGAAGCCAGATATTAGACATAATAGTAGAGATACCTTTTGAAAGTCTAGGAATGTCTCAATATTTGTGTGCATGTGTGTCGAAGAAAAGTAGAGTTTCTGAAAGGGTTGCACATAATGGGTTGATCTCAGTGAAAAATGTGGGGGCGGGGGACGATGACACACAGGCTAGAATTACCTGGAGGCCTTTGCAGAATCTGTTTCTTGTCACATCTGCTCTTGAAATTCCCATATCTCCCAGGGAAAAAAAAAGTTCCATCTGGGTTTCTTCGAGTTTGCCCAGTAGAACCCCAGATCATGTTTTAATCTTTAATCAATAGTGCATCTTGCCTTCTGGGAGTGTGAATCAGATGTGCAAACTGCAAATGCACAAGAACAGCTGCTGGGAGGCTTGGCTAGTTTTGGATAAGAGCAGCGAAGAAGTCTTTGCTTCCTGGGAGAAGTTATTTCTCCATTAACTGAATGTTACTTAGAGCTTCCATATGCTTGATGGTACCTTTCTGAGTAGGCCCATCCTTCCTTCCTTCCTTCCTTCCTTCCTTCCTTCCTTCCTTCCTTCCTTCCATCTATTTCTCTCGCTCTCTCTTTCTTTGTGCGTGCATATGAGAGAGAGAGAGAGAGAGAGAGAGAGAGAGTGCACAGATGGAAATATTTCAGAGGGAGGGGGTATTGTTTGAAGTTTCTTGATTATTTCACTCAAGCAAATGACCACATTTGCCTCTGTTTTAACTGTAGCTCCTGATATTATTTTGGTTTTTAACCAGGGCCACATTCCCTTTCAGGCAATCTTCAAACAGCCACCAAACAAACAAACAAACAAACAAACAAATTTGTGTACCTGTATTCATCTATAGTTCTCAGGGTGGTTCATAGCATATAAATAAGAGATAAAAAGACAAAATAAATGCCTGTACAGTAGTGGGTGGGGCCGAGGCAAAAGGTGGTGGAACTACTAACATAGATCTTAATGTGTACCGCATTGGTATTGGAGGCTAATTTCTGCACATGCTTACTCATCCTTCTCTGTCCTCTATCCAGACAAGTAAGAGGCCTAAATCCAGGACACCTTTCAGTCAGGCAAACATACTCAGGAACATATATTCCTTTGATAATGGAATCGCTCCCACAGAACTTACAAGTGCACCTCCGCAAATTTGCTTTAGGTACAGTAAGGGGGTGATTTTAGTAACAATTTTAACATACTGTGGAGGAGTCATATGTAGTGGCTGCATTGAAATGAGCACTATTGTGCTCATGCCCAACTTGTGGGCTTCCCATAGGCATCTAGGTGGCCGTTGTTGAAACAGAATGCTGAACCAGATCGGTCTCTAGTCTGATCAGGCAGGGATCTTTTCTTATGTTTTGTAAAGCTCCATATTATTGCTGCCAAAATGTAACCACCAATGTGCAACCGTGTTATGGAGAAGCATCATTTGAACTCTTTGGGCATCTTTTCTTCATGAGAATAGGGAAACTGTTGTTGGAACTCACTTTAAAGTGTGCATTATGTCAGTGTAAAGCAGCCTAACTGGCTTCAGTGCAGCCCATTGCTTTACTTTGAGCCATGTCTTACCAACAATCTCTTTCCAGTAATTGTGCTTGTCCCCATAAAGTAAAAGAATTCAAGAGAAGCAAGGAAGGGGGTGCTGGATACTGACCCCCCCTTGCTGCTTCCGTAGGAAAAGGGGTGTGGTTTAAACAACCTGGTCACCACGCCCCTTCCCATTGTCCCCTGCTCCTTTCCCAGCAAGGGTTCAGGTGAGTGCAAAACGCCTTGGGGTGCAGCAAGCTTTGGGGAGGGGCTGGGGGAAGGATGCAATGCTAGGGATGCAATTCCTAGGGAAAGAAAGTGGCCACGTGTTCAGTTATGGAAAACTTAATAAATATTACATACAAAAATAAATAAATAAAATAAATACTCAATGACCTGCCTTTCAAGTAAGTGGAAAGCCATTTCCGACCTGGGAGGAGAGGGAGTTGCGGGCTAATCCCTCCCCCACACACCCGGGGGCCGGCCTTTGCCCCCGCGTGAACAGGGAATCCCCGGGCGTGTCTCCGACCCGGCCCGCCAATCAGCGGGTCGGGGAGGTGGGGCCTAGCCTATTTAAGGCCAGGCACGCCCAGGGACCGCCCTCTTTTCCCCTTTCCAGCCGTGAGGTTTTCCCATCCCACCCACCCTGAGGTTAGGCTCCCTGAGGTAAGGCTAGCTATGACCTTGCTATGGACTTCGGTTGGTCGCCGCAAGGGGCCTGGTAGGAATTTTTTCCAACTTGGCGCATTTTGAGCCTTTTGGTTTTTTTGCCTACCTCGTAGCAAATGTCACAACTTCCGCGGTATTGGCGGTTAGGCATTGGCAGGGGTTAATTGTTATGCAAATGAATGGGGGGGAAGGAAGCGCCATCACCTTTCCCCCCAATGAAAGGGGTAGTCCGGTAGAGGACTCCGGGGGGCGTTGCCTTGTCCGAAACCTAGGGAGGTAAGGGCCTCTGGCACGCCCCGGCGGTGACACCCGTGGGATCCTAGTTGGCGTACTTCAACAGGACTCCCACGGCTTGTGGACAACCCTTCCCGGTCCCTATGCCGGGTAGTCGATAGGAGCCAATGCCTAAAGCCAATACCTTTCAATTCTGTAATCAATAAAGTTGTGGCCTTTTATGCCCATTAACCTTAAATAATGTGTCCAGTGTCTTCATTTCACATGGGGGAGGGGACTTGCCACGCAAATGAAGCAGCTGGTTGCCATGGTGAAATTATGATGACACTGTTACTCTGTAGTGGCAGTGCTGAAGTCCTAAATCAGATTCAAGGGAGGATTTGCCCCCAAGGCCCTGCCTACCAGTTAACAGTGACCTAAAGTTTTCCAGTAAAACATGAAATGGTGCACACGCTACATCTTGTTCGTGTGCTTATCACGCATGTCCAAAGTCCGTTTTGGGGGTCTGCCCCTTTCCCTTCAAGGGTTCAGGTGAGTGCAAAATGCCTACTATAAACGCATGCAGAAAGACAAACGTATTTTATCACTCTACTTCCCATGTTAATCACACCACTATACAACACAATACAATAAAAAACCTTTATTGGCATTTCAAGTTAAGACATTCCAAAATGGCTTGAGATACAAAGTCTTTCTTCTTCCTGTTTCCTGTTTCCAAGAGATTTGAATGGGGAAATCCTTTCGATTCTTCAATAATAAGAGGCAGTGGGGTGAGGGAGGCCAGGGCCACATCCACACCATTTAACGCGCTATGAAGCCACTTTAAACACTCATGGCTAAACACCCCCAAAGACTCTGGGAGCTATAGTTGGAAAAGGGTGCCAAGAGTTGTTAGGGGACCCGTTCCCTGCCAAGAAGGGAACCCTACCTCTACCCCTACCCCTACCCCTGACGCTCACCCTAACTCTAGCCCTAACACTAACCTTTAAGCCTTAACTAGAGCTACAATTCCCAGAGTTCCCTGGCAAAAAGGGAACCCTAACCCTAATCCTAATCCTGCCCCTAACTAGAGCTACAATTCCCAGAGTTCCCTGCCAAGGGAACCCCACCCCTACCCCTGCCCCTGACGCTAACCTAATTCTAACCCTTAGCCTTAGTTGGGGCTACAATTCCCAGGGTTCCCTGGCAAGAAGGAACCCTAACCTAACCCTAACCCTGCCCTAACTAGAGCTACAATTCCCAGAGTTCCCTGGCAAAAGGGACCCCAGCCCTACCCCTGCTCCTGACGCTAACCCTAACTCTAACCCTTAACTAGAGCTACAATTCCCAGAGTTCCCTGGCAAGAAGGAACCCTACCCCTACCCCTACCCCTACCCCAACCCCTACCCTACCCCTAGTCCTAATACTTAACCACCATAACAAGTCTCCGTCCCCTTAACCACCTACAGTTCCCAGAATCCCTGAGGGGAAGCCATTCCTGTTTAAAGCATCTTCATAGCACTTTCAGTGGACGGTGCGCCTAATGTGGCCTAATGTTTCCTCCCTCATTTTCTTCTCTCTCCCCACTGCCCCATCACTTGCAATGCAGCAGATGTCCGCCTGCAGTCTCCCTTCAAAGCTCCTTCTCTCAGGTATGGCCACGGCCTTGTCCATTGCTCACTGCCAGTATTTCACGTTCACTTCTCCAATGTAAATAGGGATGTCCTGCGGTTCTCTTGATGACTTTGAAGGCTGGACTTGGGGAAAACCTCACCAGCTCCAAACATCCCTGTAAGGCAAAGGCAAACAGGTGAGTGGGATAGCCAACACCCGACAGCGTCCCCCCAGATTCCTCCTCTGTTTGGCTGCCTGTTAACAAACAAGGCTTCCAAACCAGTTTACATCCATCTCAGCCAGCGTAGCCTTACAACATCCACTAGCTTGAATGCAAACTCTTCCAACAACCATCCACCAGCTGCAACCACGTCAGGTCCATTGCCAGACATCAACCAGCTTCAGAGCTGAGTGTCAGTTGCCTTCAAGTAGTGATCCCACCAGCAACTAAACTTTGTACTTGCCTTCTCCTTGCTCCACAGCATCCCAGCACCGGGCGATTGCCTCCTTCCGCTTGCCAGCTTGCCACCATGGGGCAGGAGACCACCTGGGCTGAGTGCCACCGAGCTGCCCATTTCTCTCTGGGGAGGGCAACTGCTGAGGCTTGCGCCTTGGCCCACATTTATACCCGCTCAACAGCCAAATGTTTTTGTCACATCACAATCAACCCACGGACAATGGCAGCAGCTGGGGAGGCATCACCATCACTCCCTCAGCCCTCACAATGGTGAGCACAGCTCAGCAGCCAACACACACACACAAGTTGTGCCAATATCTGTGAAGGTCACACCGGAAACCCAAAGGGGCAGGAGGGGGACATTTTTCAGCCCAGTGGTTACATTTCCCTCCACACAACACTAGTCCAATACACAAATGAACAGAGCAATGAAAGCAAGCCTTATCTTTGCACAGGAAGTTGTTCAAGGAATGACATGCAGAGAGAAAGTTAGCATCTCAGGAAAAAAACACTTTTTCATCAGTCAATCAATCAATCAATCAATCAATCAATCAATCATTTATTGTATTTGACTAAAACCCATTATAAATCCAGTTACAAAAGCACCAAACCCAATGACCCAAACTATAGCTCCCAGATTCTTGGGGGGAAGAAACCAGGTGGATGCCATGTGAACTCAGCGATGTGTCAAGTGATGGCTGCATACTACCTCCAGGTTCAGAGGCGGCATATTTCTGTATATCAGTTTCTGAGAATCACGAGGGCTGTGGTGGTCAGATTCTGCTTGCAATTTTTGCACAGGCATCTGTGAGAATGGGATGCTGAACTCGGCCACTGGCCTGATCCAGGCAGCTTTCTTATGTTACAAAGGAAGACTTCCAAGAGAATACTTTTAATGTAGCACTCCAAGAAATGCTGCAAGTTTCAGAAAGTCACATAATGCACTCCAAAATCAGAAATTTTGAAACCATTTCAGCACTGTGTCATTTTACTTTCTCCCTGCATCTCTTATCTGAACTATGCACTTGCAGTTTCTTTGAGTATGTTTTTTTTCCAATTTAATTTTATTTGGTAGCCATTTCTCCCTTTCTGAGGAAGGAACAAAAACATTTGTAGTTCTCAGTGTCCCTGACTTAAGAGTCTGACTCGTCTTCCCTGCCTACCAAGCGCTCACTGGCTGGTGTGCCTTTCCACTGTAGGGAGATCAGAAGAGGACCAATTCATTAAGCCTAAGCAGCCACCAGCTTGGGTAGGGTTCTTGGCAGGGAACAGGGGGTCCCCTAACAACTCTTGGCACCCTTTTCCAACTATAGCTCCCAGAGTCTTTGGGGGTGTTTAAGCCATGAGTGTTTAAAGCGGCTTCATAGCGCGTTAAATGGTGTGGATGTGGCCCTGGCCTCCCTCACCCCACTGCCTCTTATTATAGAGGAATCGAAAGGATTTCCCCATTCAAATCTCTTAGAAACAGGAAACAGGAAGAAGAAAGACTTTCTATCTCATGCCATTTTGAAATGCTTTAACTTGAAATGCCAATAAAGGTTATTGTATTGTACTGTATTGTTTTGTGTTGTGTTGTATTAGGATTAACATGGGAAATGGAATAGTAAAATGTCAATGAGGTGAACACAATACTTCTGTAAACTGGCACGCCCCTTCTTGTGGGTGTGGAAGCAACTTGTGGCTGGACAAGCAACTTTATAAGATGTGTTTTTCCTGATGAAGATGTGCCTGATCTTGGCTTACCCCATTTGCAAAATCCTTAAGCTAAGACTCCAATACTTTGGCCACCTCATGAGAAGAGAAGACTCCCTGGAAAAGACCCTGATGTTGGGAAAGATGGAGGGCACAAGGAGAAGGGGACGACAGAGGACGAGATGGTTGGACAGTGTTCTCGAAGCTACCAGCATGAATTTGACCAAACTGCGGGAGGCAGTGGAAGACAGGAGTGCCTGGCGTGCTCTGGTCCATGGGGTCACGAAGAGTTGGGACACGACTAAGTGATTAAACAACCAATAATAAAAAGATTTCCTAATTAACTCATTTTGTCCAGATCACTTTATTTAAAAGGATCCAGAGACCTTAAGTCAAAGGAACCAGTTAGTTATCTCTCACAGAGGGCAAAATAAATAAATAATACCAATCCCTCAACTGTCGAAACAAACAGTCTTGCAGCACTGTACAAACTAACAGATTATGGAAAACTTTTTTTAAATGGGAGGGTCAGGGGGCCTTGGTGGGTGCTAAGGAGGGCTTCTGAGGGTGCCATGGAGTCCACATGCCACACGCGTCACAAGGGAGGGGGGTACTCTGTCATCATTTCTTTATTAACAAATGCCCTCCCCCTTGAGTCCTAGTTTCCTCAGCCCTGTCTATGTATGGTCTCCTGTGATGTCACAAACAAGACACAGCAGCTGAGGGGAAAGAGGCAGTTTCTTATTCTAGAATTTGAAACACAGGAGGGCAGGAGGGGGACATTTTTCAGCCCAGTGTTTACATTTCCCTCCACACAACACTAGTCAAATGCACAAATGAACAGAGCAATGAAAGCAAGCCTTATCTTTGCGCAGGAAGCTTTTCAAGGAATGACATGCAGAGAGAAAGCACCAAACCCAAGTAAACCTAATAAAAATATATATACGTTGTTCTGGAATGCAGGAAACTCAGCTGAAATTTAGGAAACGTTTGTCTTTCTGCATGTGTTTATAGTATCCATACTGCTATTGGGAATACTCAAAATGGGAGGGGGGCCCCCCTCAGCTGCACACCCACCTCCCTTCATTCTCCCTCCCCCATCTGCCCAGCAGCTTCCCTGCCTGCTGTCTCCCCCTCCATCATCACACTGGCATTGCATCCTCCCCTTGTCCCCCCAGCTTGCTGCGCACCAAGGCGTTTTGCACTCACCTGAACCCTTGCAGGGAAAGGGGCAGGGCACAATGGGAAGGGGCAGGGTGACCGAGCTACTTAAACAACACCCCTTTTCCAACGGAAGCACCATGGGGGGTGGTCCTCCGAGAGAGAACAACAACAGAACAGAACAAAGAAGAAAGAAGACGGAAGTGGCGCACAGTTCCTTCTGTTCCCTCGCTTCCAAAGAATGGAATGTCAACACACAAAGCATGTGATCCAGTATAGACACACACTCTGCAGCACGGGAGAGAAGGAAGCTCCGGATATCCAGCACCCCCTTCTCTGCTTCTCTTGAACTCTTTGACTGTAACCCTGTCCAATCTTTTTTCAAAGAGGGCCAGATTTGATGAAGTGAAGGGCCATGAGGGCCGCCGAAACAGCCAACCCAAGTTGTTAACCTTTTTTTAGGGTTGAATTTGTTGAGGGTTTTTTTTTTTTAGGATTTTACCCCAGGAAATAAATAAACTGCCACAGGGGCCGGATTAAACCGACCAGTGGGCTGGATTAGGCCCCCAAAACAGACTTTGGACATGCGTGATAAGCTCACGAACAAGATGTAGCGTGTGCACCATTTCATGTTTTACTGGAAAACTTTAGGTCACTGTTAACTGGTAGGCAGGGCCTTGGGGGCAAATCCCCCCTTGAATCTGACTTAGGACTTCAGCACTGCCACTACAGAGTAACAGTGTCATCATAATTTATAATAATAATAATAATAATAATAATAATAATAATAATAATAATATCTTTATTGTCATTGCCCCCTTCGGGGACAACGAAATTACTTGACTGCTCCATAAAAACACTAATTAATCAATACAGTATAATACAGCAAGGGAGATTAGATGACTTTCCAAAGTCCGGGCTTCCCATTCAGGGCCGAGATCGCTCTGGAGAAGAAGCTGTTCTTAAGACGGCTCGTTCTTGTCTTCATCGTCCTGTATCTCCGTCCCGACGGCAAGAGCTCGAAGAGACAGTGACCAGGATGCGATGGATCTTTTACTATGTCCAGTGCCTTCCTATGGCACCTTGTGGCATAAATCTGCTCTAAGGTGGAGAGTGGGCAGCCAACAATGCTCTCTGCTGCCTTAACAACCCTGCACAACCCCATCCTGTCCTGGGTAGTACAGCTTCCGTACCACACACATAAGCCATAAGTGAGCACGCTCTCAATGGCACAGTGATAGAAGGCAAGCAGCAGTTTCTGCGGAAGATGGTTTTTCCTTAGTATTCTCAAAAGTACAGTCTCTGCTGCGCCTTCTTCACAAGCCCCCTTGTGTTGACACTCCAGGACAGATCCTCTTGTAATTCAATGCCCAAAAATCTGAACGTTGTTACCCTCTCCACACAGACCCCATCAATCAAAAGTGGTTCACCATGGCAACCAGCTGCTTCATTTCCACTTGCGATGAGCTGGGGGTGCCACTGGCCGCGGAGAAAACAGAGGGTCCATCTACTTCATTGGTCTATCTAGGCATTGAGTTAGACACCGTAGCCCAAACGTCCAGACTGCCTCGGGAAAAACTGTTAGCCCTTAAGGAATTGATACAACAGCTACTGCCTCTAAAGAAGGTTACTCTAAGGCAAATTCAATCCCTGCTAGGTCACCTAAATTTCGCTTGTAGGGTAGTGGCACCGGGTCGACCTTTTTGTGGCCGTCTGGCCAGACTGTCGGCAGGTCTCAGGGCACCGCAGCATAGGGTTCGCCTCTCTAAGGAAGTCAAGGCAGATTTGGAAGTCTGGCTGCAATTCCTCGATAAATACAATGGCATATCCCTGTGGCAGGACTCCATAGCACTCAATGCTGACTTCCAAGTCCAGTCAGATGCAGCAGGGTCCTTGGGTTTCGGAGTTTATTTCAGGGGTCAGTGGTGTGTAAAAAGGTGGCCGGAAGACTGGCAGGGCCAGCCCATTTCTTGGGACCTTACATTCTTGGAATTTTTCCCTATCCTAGTGGCAGTACATCTCTGGGCAGAGCAGTTTCGCAATCATAGGGTCTGCTTCAACACAGATAACCAGGCAGTGGTAGTGGTTCTTTCCAGACAGTCCGCGCGCTCCTCTAGGGTGGGAAACTTGTTGCGGTCCTTCGTCCTCCTGTGTCTCGAGAACAATATATATTTCTCAGCCAAATTCGTACCCGGCATTAATGACATCGCAGATGCTCTGTCTCGCTTTCAGATGGAGCGCTTCCGCTCATTAGCGCCGGATGCGGAACAATCATCGATGCCTTTCCCGGAGCATCTCTGGAGTCTTGGGAGGAAGAAGTGATGAAGGGAGTATTCGGTGCAGTCGCCCCCTCCACAATGAGATCTTACAAGAAAGCGTGGGCCGACTTCCTAAAGTTCCGCAATAAGTTTCCCAGCGCGAAACGGAACTCTGTTCCCTCAACGAGGGAGGTCCTCCACTATTTAGCCCACCTGAAGGAACTGGGCAGGGCACCTAAGACTCTCAATATTCAGTCCGCAGGAATTTCATATTTTTACAAAACCTTTTTCGCCACCGACCCGTGTGCTAAATTTATAGTAAGACTTTAGAATGGTGGCACCGGCTGCAGCCCCCCAGCTCTGACAGGAGGAAGCCCATAACTTTTGACATTCTGACCCAGATACACAAAAACTTATGTGCAATATGCTGGTCAAAATACGAAGCTCGCCTATTCTCGGCTGCTTATTCCATAGCCTTCTTTGGGGCACTTCGCATAGGGGAAGTGGTTTGTGAGGGAGGGGCTCTCCACGCCCAGAGGGGTATCCTCTTAAGTGATCTGACCCTGTCAACAAACGAGCTTATAGTCCAAGTTCGGAGCTCCAAGACCGATCAGCAGGGCAGGGGGGCCCTTCTACAGTTACCAGGAGTGCAAGGTAGTGGCCCCTGCCCGGTTAGGGATACGAGGCATTTCCTCTACCTAAGACCCAGTAGCCCAGGCCCCCTGTTAATTCATGCCGATGGCTCGCCTTTGGCTAGGCACCAGTTTACACGGGTGATGCGCAGGGCTTTGGCTGCATGCGGGCTGCCTGCGGCCGAATTTGCGGCTCACTCCTTTCGGATCGGTGCTGCAACCGCTGCTGCGCACCTCGGGCTCTCCACGGAGAGGATAAAGGATCTGGGCCGGTGGAAATCTAATGCATACAGAGCTTACGTAAGAAAGAATCTATGACTAGTGGGCGCGCGCCTGACCTCGGTTTCTCTGTCTATTTGCTTTTCAGAATGCCGAAAGGTACGCATTTGATTGGTGGGCCATAGCATCGTGCATTGGGCCAGGCAGCGGGCAATGAGTACCGGGCTGGGGAAAAACTTGAACTTACCTGCAGGTGTTCAGCTGACGTGGATGGCGAGAAGAGGCATGTGATGGTGTGAATTTAAGCCCGCCGTGATGGCGAGAGCCGCCTCTGAGGGCCCACCTGATGCTTTGGTTATCCAGTTGGGGGAGAACGACCTGGCGTACCGCAAAGCGATTGACTTGAGATGGAACATTTTTTACGATTTTGCTGATCTGATGGCGGTTTACCCAAACATTACTATATTGTGGTCCTCGTTGCTTGAAAGGAGGATATGGAAGGACTGTTCAAGCCCGGTCGGAATCAATAAAGCAAGAAAAGTCTTGCAGCGGGCTGTGGAGCGTAGAGTGGCGGCTCTGGGCGGGTGTGTCATCGGCCACCCTGGCAATCAGTACAGCAACGAGGCCCTCTACAGATGGGATGGCGTGCATCTTTCAGATGCTGGAAACGATATTTGGTTAGGGGACATCATAGCAGGGATTAGGAATTGGTTACAGGTTTGAAGGTATTGGCGGCGAGCTTCGCTCGAGTGGCAGTTAGGCATTGGCAGAGGTTAATTGTTATGCAAATGAATGGGGGGGAAGGAAGTGCCATCACCTTCCCCCCAATGAAAGGGGTAGTCCGGTAGAGGACTCCGGGGGGCGTTGCCTTGTCCGAAACCTAGGGAGGTAAGGGCCTCTGGCACGCCCCCGAGCGGTGACACCCGTGGGATCCTAGTTGGCGTACTTCAACAGGACTCCCACGGCTTGTGGACAACCCTTCCCGGTCCCCATGCCGGGTAGTCGATAGGAGCCAATGCCTAAAGCCAATACCTTTCAATTCTGTAATCAATAAAGTTGTGGCCTTTTATGCCCATTAACCTTAAATAATGTGTCCAGTGTCTTCATTTCACATGGGGGAGGGGACTTGCCACGCAAATGAAGCAGCTGGTTGCCATGGTGAAATTATGATGACACTGTTACTCTGTAGTGGCAGTGCTGAAGTCCTAAATCAGATTCAAGGGAGGATTTGCCCCCAAGGCCCTGCCTACCAGTTAACAGTGACCTAAAGTTTTCCAGTAAAACATGAAATGGTGCACACGCTACATCTTGTTCGTGTGCTTATCACGCATGTCCAAAGTCCGTTTTGGGGGCCTGCCCCTTTCCCTTCAAGGGTTCAGGTGAGTGCAAAATGCCTACTATAAACGCATGCAGAAAGACAAACGTATTTTATCACTCTACTTCCCATGTTAATCACAACACTATACAACACAATACAATAAAAATACCTTTATTGGCATTTCAAGTTAAGACATTCCAAAATGGCTTGAGATACAAAGTCTTTCTTCTTCCTGTTTCCTGTTTCCAAGAGATTTGAATGGGGAAATCCTTTCGATTCTTCAATAATAAGAGGCAGTGGGGTGAGGGAGGCCAGGGCCACATCCACACCATTTAACGCGCTATGAAGCCACTTTAAACACTCATGGCTAAACACCCCCAAAGACTCTGGGAGCTATAGTTGGAAAAGGGTGCCAAGAGTTGTTAGGGGACCCCGTTCCCTGCCAAGGGAACCCTACCACTACCCCTACCCCTACCCCTGACGCTCACCCTAACTCTAGCCCTAACACTAACCTTTAAGCCTTAACTAGAGCTACAATTCCCAGAGTTCCCTGGCAAAAAGGGAACCCTAACCCTAATCCTAACCCTGCCCCCTAACTAGAGCTACAATTCCCAGAGTTCCCTGCCAAGGGAACCCCAACCCTACCCCTGCCCCTGACGCTAACCCTAATTCTAACCCTTAGCCTTAATTAGAGCTACAATTCCCAGGGTTCCCTGGCAAGAAGGGAACCCTAACCCTAACCCTAACCCTGCCCCTAACTAGAGCTACAATTCCCAGAGTTCCCTGGCAAAAAGGGAACCCCAACCCTACCCCTGCTCCTGACGCTAACCCTAACTCTAACCCTTAACTAGAGCTACAATTCCCAGAGTTCCCTGGCAAGAAGGAACCCTACCCCTACCCCTACCCCTACCCCTACCCCTACCCCAACCCCTACCCTACCCCTAGTCCTAATACTTAACCACCATAACAAGTCTCCGTCCCCTTAACCACCTACAGTTCCCAGAATCCCTGAGGGGAAGCCATTCCTGTTTAAAGCATCTTCATAGCACTTTCAATGGACGGTGCGCCTAATGTGGCCTAATGTTTCCTCCCTCATTTTCTTCTCTCTCCCCACTGCCCCATCACTTGCAATGCAGCAGGTGTCCGCCTGCAGTCTCCCTTCAAAGCTCCTTCTCTCAGGTATGGCCACGGCCTTGTCCATTGCTCGCTGCCAGTATTTCACGTTCACTTCTTCTTCCTGTTTCCTGTTTCCAAGAGATTTGAATGGGGAAATCCTTTCGATTCTTCAATAATAAGAGGCAGTGGGGTGAGGGAGGCCAGGGCCACATCCACACCATTTAACGCGCTATGAAGCCACTTTAAACACTCATGGCTAAACACCCCCAAAGACTCTGGGAGCTATAGTTGGAAAAGGGTGCCAAGAGTTGTTAGGGGACCCCGTTCCCTGCCAAGAAGGGAACCCTACCTCTACCCCTACCCCTACCCCTGACGCTCACCCTAACTCTAGCCCTAACACTAACCTTTAAGCCTTAACTAGAGCTACAATTCCCAGAGTTCCCTGGCAAAAAGGGAACCCTAACCCTAATCCTAACCCTGCCCCCTAACTAGAGCTACAATTCCCAGAGTTCCCTGCCAAGGGAACCCCAACCCTACCCCTGCCCCTGACGCTAACCCTAATTCTAACCCTTAGCTTTAATTAGAGCTACAATTCCCAGGGTTCCCTGGCAAGAAGGGAACCCTAACCCTAACCCTAACCCTAACCCTGCCCCTAACTAGAGCTACAATTCCCAGAGTTCCCTGGCAAAAAGGGAACCCCAACCCTACCCCTGCTCCTGACGCTAACCCTAACTCTAACCCTTAACCCTTAACTAGAGCTACAATTCCCAGAGTTCCCTGGCAAGAAGGAACCCTACCCCAACCCCTACCCCAACCCCTACCCTACCCCTACCCCAACCCCTACCCTACCCCTAGTCCTAATACTTAACCATAACAAGTCTCCGTCCCCTTAACCACCTACAGTTCCCAGAATCCCTGAGGGGAAGCCATTCCTGTTTAAAGCATCTTCATAGCACTTTCAATGGACGGTGCGCCTAATGTGGCCTAATGTTTCCTCCCTCATTTTCTTCTCTCTCCCCCCTGCCCCATCACTTGCAATGCAGCAGGTGTCCGCCTGCAGTCTCCTTCAAAGCTCCTTCTCTCCAGGTATGGCCACGGCCTTGTCCATTGCTCACTGCCAGTATTTCACGTTCACTTCTCCAATGTAAATAGGGATGTCCTGCGGTTCTCTTGATGACTTTGAAGGCTGGACTTGGGGAAAACCTCACCAGCTCCAAACATCCCTGTAAGGCAAAGGCAAACAGGTGAGTGGGATAGCCAACACCCGACAGCGTCCCCCCAGATTCCTCCTCTGTTTGGCTGCCTGTTAACAAACAAGGCTTCCAAACCAGTTTACATCCATCTCAGCCAGCGTAGCCTTGCAGCATCCACTAGCTTGAATGCAAACTCTTCCAACAACCATCCACCAGCTGCAACCACGTCAGGTCCATTGCCAGACATCAACCAGCTTCAGAGCTGAGTGTCAGTTGCCTTCAAGTAGCGATCCCACCAGCAACTAAACTTTGTACTTACCTTCTCCTTTCTCCACAGCATCTCAGCACCGGGTGATTGCCTCCTTCCGCTTGCCAGCTTGCCAGCACGGGCGGGAGACCACCAGGGCCACAGCATCCCAGAGCCGGGCGATTGCCTCCTTCCACCTGTCAGCTTGCCGCCACGGGACAGGAGACCGCCTGGGCTGAGTGCCACCGAGCTGCCCATTTCTCTCTGGGGAGGGCAACTGCCGAGGCTTGCGCCTTGGCCCACATTTATACCCGCTCAGCAGCCAAATGTTTTTGTCACATCACAATCAACCCACGGACAATGGCAGCAGCTGGGGAGGCATCACCATCACTCCCTCAGCCCTCACAATGGTGAGCACAGCTCAGCAGCCAACACACACACACAAGTTGTGCCAATATCTGTGAAGGTCACACCGGAAACCCAAAGGGGCAGGAGGGGGACATTTTTCAGCCCAGTGGTTACATTTCCCTCCACACAACACTAGTCCAATACACAAATGAACAGAGCAATGAAAGCAAGCCTTATCTTTGCACAGGAAGTTGTTCAAGGAATGACATGCAGAGAGAAAGTTAGCATCTCAGGAAAAAAACACTTTTTCATCAGTCAATCAATCAATCAATCAATCAATCATTTATTGTATTTGACTAAAACCCACTATAAATCCAGTTACAAAAGCACCAAACCCAATGACCGAAACTATAGCTCCCAGATTCTTGGGGGGAAGAAGCCAGGTTGATGCCATGTGAACTCAGCGATGTGTCAAGTGATGGCTGCATACTACCTCCAGGTTCAGAGGCGGCATATTTCTGTATATCAGTTTCTGAGAATCACGAGGGCTGTGGTGGTCAGATTCTGCTTGCAATTTTTGCACAGGCATCTGTGAGAATGGGATGCTGAACTTCGGCCACTGGCCTGATCCAGGCAGCTTTCTTATGTTACAAAGGAAGACTTCCAAGAGAATACTTTTAATGTAGCACTCCAAGAAATGCTGCAAGTTTCAGAAAGTCACATAATGCACTCCAAAATCAGAAATTTTGAAACCATTTCAGCACTGTGTCATTTTACTTTCTCCCTGCATCTCTTATCTGAACTATGTACTTGCAATTTAATTTTATTTGGTAGCCATTTCTCCCTTTCTGAGGAAGGAACAAAAACATTTGTAGTTCTCAGTGTCCCTGACTTAAGAGTCTGACTCGTCTTCCCTGCCTACCAAGCGCTCACTGGCTGGTGTGCCTTTCCACTGTAGGGAGATCAGAAGAGGACCAATTCATTAAGCCTAAGCAGCCACCAGCTTGGGTAGGGTTCTTGGCAGGGAACAGGGGGTCCCCTAACAACTCTTGGCACCCTTTTCCAACTATAGCTCCCAGAGTCTTTGGGGGTGTTTAAGCCATGAGTGTTTAAAGCGGCTTCATAGCGGGTTAAATGGTGTGGATGTGGCCCTGGCCTCCCTCATCCCACTGCCTCTTATTAATGAAGAATCGAAAGGATTTCCCCATTCAAATCTCTTGGAAACAGGAAACGGGGAGAAGAAAGACTTTGTATCTCAAGCCATTTTGGAATGTCTTAACTTGAAATGCCAATAAAGGTATTATTATTGTATTGTGTTGTATATTGTTGTGATTAACATGGGAAGTAGAGTGGTAAAATACGTTTGTCTTTCTGCATGTGTTTATAGTATCCATATTGCTATTTGGAATACTCGAAATGGGAGGGGGGCCCCCCTCAGCTGCACGCCCACCTCCCTTCATTCTCCCTCCCCCACCTGCCCAGCAGCTTCCCTGCCTGCTGTCTCCCCCTCCATCATCACACTGGCATTGCATCCTCCCCTTGCCCCCCCAGCGTGCTGCGCACCAAGGCGTTGTGCCCTCACCTGAACCCTTGCAGGGAAAGGGGCAGGGCACAATGGGAAGGGGCAGGGTGACCGAGCTACTTAAACAACACCCCTTTTCCAACGGAAGCACCATGGGGGGTGGTCCTCCGAGAGAGAACAACAACAGAACAGAACAAAGAACAAAGAAGACGGAAGTGGCGCACAGTTCCTTCTGTTCCCTCGCTTCCAAAGAATGGAATGTCAACACACAAAGCATGTGATCCAGTATAGACACACACTCTGCAGCACGGGAGAGAAGGAAGCTCCGGACATCCAGCACCCCCTTCTCTGCTTCCATTGAACTCTTTGACTGTAACCCTGTCCAATCTTTTTTCAAAGAGGGCCAGATTTGATGAAGTGAAGGGCCGTGAGGGCCGCCGAAACAGCCAACCCAAGTTGTTAACCTTTTTTTAGGGTTGAATTTGTTGAGGGGTTTTTTTTTTAGGATTTTACCCCAGGAAATAAATAAACTGCCACAGGGGCCGGATTAAACCGACCAGTGGGCTGGATTAGGCCCCCAAAACAGACTTTGGACATGCGTGATAAGCTCACGAACAAGATGTAGCGTGTGCACCATTTCATGTTTTACTGGAAAACTTTAGGTCACTGTTAACTGGTAGGCAGGGCCTTGGGGGCAAATCCCCCCTTGAATCTGACTTAGGACTTCAGCACTGCCACTACAGAGTAACAGTGTCATCATAATTTCACCATGGCAACCAGCTGCTTCATTTCCACTTACTTGAAAGGCAGGTCATTGAGTATTTATTTTATTTATTTATTTTTGTATGAAATATTTATTAAGTTTTCCATAACTGAACACGTGGCCACTTTCTTTCCCTTGGAAATTGACTTGATGATCCACAGCCAGTTACCAAGCATCTAAGAATATAGAAAAGAGCATCCTGATCAGAGGTCAAGTGGGAACCTTGGCACCTCTTACTTAAGCTTTCAAGAAATATGTCTTCTTATGTCACAGATGGGTGATAGCAACCTCAATGAGCCTCCCCACGTAAATGTCAATTCTCCAAGCATTAATATAAATGCTGCCTCTCAGAAATAAAGATCTGCTCATGATCAGATCTCAAAACACAATTCCCTTCTTTTCTCTCCTATTTATTCTGGAGTAAGTCACAACTAAGCCCACTAAAGTTAATGACGCTTGACCAAGCTAAATCTTCTGTTAATGAGAAGTGAATTGGGCCATTTATCTTTGTGATTGAAGAAACATGGTGTGAACTTTGATGTGCTCTAGCATTGCACATTTACTCTGGATTCTTCCATTTTTATTTTGTCCTCCAAGTCCATGTGACGGAAACATCTCTTCTTCTTTTTTGCTCCTTTCTGCGATGAAGGCTCCTTTTCCCATCTTCGCCACTCTGCTTCTTCACTTATGGTGAGATGCAGAGATCATAAAAGGCAAGGTTTTAAGAAAGCGTTTATAATTAAAGTGAACAGGTGGCTCCAACTAGTACGAGTGACCGAGCAAACAAACCCACTGAGAGCTGGGATTGGTTGAAGCAGATGGTGTATCCTTTGTACCTCTTTTAATGAAGACTGCGCCTGATCTCTCTGTTGGGCTTAGCATGACACATATCCTTCTCATTTGTGTAAGTACATTTATACTGACATCAAAAGAAAAGCCCCATATTTGTATCTAGATTATAACAGCAAAAGATGCATCCATTCTTAGGAACCCCTTTCAACGTCTGTTTCAGAGATCTGGGCACATTAGGCATGGCATAGCAACACAATTCAGAATGGGAACCTAATTCATGCCTGTTATCTACTCCTGTCCACAAGGAGTAACCCATCACATTGTTGATGTAATTGTATTATACAGTTGGGTGATTATATTCTCTCTCCCCCACCCCACTCCCACTCTCTCTGGACAAAGAACAACAATCTCCAAGCATTGGATATAGTCTTGCAGCATTTATTTTTCCATTGGGAGGAAGGAGGGGATATAAATTTAATAAATAAATTTAAAGCATAATATATTCCCTGTTCTTCAGGCCATAAACCCATCTAGCCCAGTATCCTGTTACCACAGAGGCCAAATAAATAGGACGTGAGTGGTACCCCCCCCCATCTTGGCATTCAAAGGCATATATTCAGAAGAGTCATGGTGGGTTGTGCTGTGGGGAGGAGCTGTTTCCTATTATGTGGTATGCACCCTGGTGAGAATGGTTTTGTTCAATGGATGGCTCTGGAAGTTTTGGCTGGGATTACCAAGGATATATGTTGACTCCAGACAAGGACTTTGAAGATGTTGTTGGTATGGTCTGAGCTGTTAGAGCAGCACAACTGGTGGGAGGCTGTGCACCATAATAAGTTTATAGGACACAGAATAAGGTAAACAGACTGGCATTCTTTTTTAAGTATTCTGGCCCATGGGGGCACATATATCCCCCATGGTAGAACACTGGGGATCTTACTGTTTTGAGTTGTGACTTTTGTTTGTTTTTTAGGATCTGCAGAGAACTCAGCTTGTGTCTGAGTGGGTGGAAGTGAATTAGCTGGAGCTGATCGCTTCCTGTGGCATTGAATCCAAGCACATGAGAGAATTTAATATGGATTGCTTATATACCTAAGGCAGTATTGAGTTAGGGTACTCTTGAGTTGCCTTTCATTGACTTGGCATTGTGGGTGGGTGGGAGCATTGTGGATGCTCTTTAACCTTAACATTCACTGTGCATGTCATGTTCACATGCCAAAGTACATGTAGCAAGGAAGGAGAATTCTTTCCAAGTCCTTGCTGTGAGACCATAGACTGCAGCTGCCCAGATTACATTGATTTGTCTAATCTGTTTATTTGGTTTCTGCAGATTCTCTAATTTGTTACATTCCAATAAATATAACCTGCTTGTACCATAATTGTTGTGTCTCAAGTCTTCTTTGGGGAAGTAACGACAAAGATATTCATCTAAGCAAGTCTTAGTTGCCTTCAGCATTTGTATCCTGCCACCCACTTGCTCCTGACGTTGCTCATGCCATTTATTTTGCTTTGGCGTAATTCATCTGGGAGCTTCCAAACAATTAGTCCGGAAGCGTGTACTAAAGGGTGAAGAATTTCAGTGTTGTTGTAATGCAAGATAACTATAGATCACAAACTTTGTCATGAAATAATGCCGCCGAGAACAAAGCAAATTGAGGCTTTGTTTCCAAATGATAAGGAGGCGCTTGGAATGCTTAGCAAGGGTTCTGCATTTCTTTTGCTGTCTACCTAAATGAGGACCCCTGCTTCCATATTTTCAAAGTCATTGGTTAATTATGCTCTAGTGTCATCACATTTTGTGCATTATGGTTTGAATGTGAGCATATGTAAAACTCTGCATTTGAATATGCAAAGCAGAATATTCCAAATTAATTCAGCCTGGTCTGGCACCATATGTTATTCCAGGTAGCCACTTTTCACCACTTTTCTTTTTTTAATGTGTTGCAGCCAAGGTGTTTAGGCTTTGGGCCTCCAGGGTTGTCATACGTTTGCTCCCATCAGCCCATGACTAGGGGTGGTGCAATTTTTATTCCAGCAACATCTGGAAGGTCATAGGTTAGCTGCCTCTGTGTTAGCTAGTCTCTGGCAGGGATGCCCACTTAACTTTCTTGCAAGTATGGATACAGTTATTCTTATTTTACAGACAAGAAACAGAGGCAGAAAGATACTGATTGATCCAGATTAGACTTAAGGTCACATTTCCCAAATCTGAGAGAATGCAGATGGACCAGAAAGGTTCTCAGTAACTAAGATATAGTTGTGGCAGACACCATTCCATTATAATGGCTCAAGGAGTATGATACTGGGTATGTTGAATTGTGTTGTGTAAGTGGATCATGGGGTCATGAGATGTGTGACATTTATTATGCAGGGTAGATGACCTGCTTGTGTAACTTATCTCAATGGGCTGAAATTAGGGATGCTTCTGACTTTTTCATCATCTGAACTTCTGCCTGAATTTTGAAATTCTGAATTACTTGAGGCGGATCTACACTCAGTCCCTGCTCCTGCCAACCTAGCAGTTCGAAAGCACGTCAAAGTGCAAGTAGATAAATAGGTACCACTCCGGCGGGAAGGTAAACGGCGTTTCCTTGCACTGCTCTGGTTCGCCAGAAGCGGCTTAGTCATGCTGGCCACATGACCCGGAAGCTGTACACCAGCTCCCTCGGCCAATAAATCAAGATGAGCGCCGCTACCCCAGAACCGGCCACGACTGGACCTAATGGTCAGGGGTCCCTTTACCTTTACCTTTTTAAGGAACAGTTATTATAACGCATTTGACTGCATTATGTTTTGCTTGTAACATTTAAATTTGTGTTATTAAAATGTGACACCAGAGGGCACTGCAGAGCAACCAGGAACTGGCAGAAAAGGAAACTGCATTCTTATGGAGGAAACAAGATAAGGAACATTTTTATTTTACCATTATGCCCTGTGACATTCTAATAACATTAAAACAGTAAATGTAGATCGATTCTTGGTTGGGGATTAAAATAGAACTGCTATGGCAGATTTTTTAAATACTTTTTTTAAAAGAAGCAAACATCCCACATGTTGTCCATGAGTAATCTGACATGCTTACTCTCTCAAGTGATTTGTGACCCTTCCCCATTCCCTTACCTAAGGGTTTGTGAATTAAGTCTTGAACATTGGAAGGAATATCTAAACAGTAAGAGACATTAAATAATGGAACCAATTATGTTGGGGCTGATAGGCTCATCTTCTTTGGAGGTCTGCAAGCAGAGGCTGGGCAGTCACTAGAAGAGCAAGCAAAGAGCACAGGGCAGACAAGAACAAGGTGATGCATTACTCCAACTTCCCTTCTCCCAAGCACTGTGATGGCTCTGGTGAAACCATTCTGTCTGTTTAGAAGATAGATATGTCCATCAGAAAAGAGTCATCCCTCCCACCCTGGTGTTGTCCTTATATGGTGAGCTTGGAGTAGTAATGTTTCAGCTTTTGCAGACACAATGGGTGCTTCCAGACAGGCTGTGTGTGCTAATATTACAAATGGATGGTTCAGATATTGCAAATGAGTCATTGGCAACATGTTTATGTGTTATCTTTACTTCTCAGATTCATAGCTGTCAACTTACAGATTTGAAAATAAGGGACCAGCAGCCTCGGAAATAAGGGATCAGCAGCCAAAATAAGGGATTTTCGGAGCACAGGTATGTCCAACTTCTGAGCCCCTCCGAGCCAAAGGCAGAAAGCCCAGCCAGCAGCCAAACAAAGCCTCAAGCGGTGGTTCCCACAGCGCAGCAACCCGGCAAAGGGGATGCAGCAAGGAAAACCACTATCACCTCTCCCCTGGGAAGCGCTGAGCAAAGGCGAGTTCCCAGGCAACGCAGCCAATTTGATCGGCACAAGGCATGCAAGGTCCACCCCCCCAGTCATTCTTAGACTCCTTATTGGGTGAGCAACGCAGCCAAGCTACACATTTGGAGCCTCCCTCCTCCCTGGCTGGCAGGGAGGGAGGGAGAGGAGCTGCTTCCTTTGAAACCTGGGAAATTTAAGGGACATCATCAATAAGGGACAGCAGTGGGACACAGCACTGGGATAAGGGATTTTCCTGCCAAATAAGGGATAGTTGACAGATATGCTCAGATTTTCCATGTAAAACATAAATATGGATTAATGGGGAAAATACAGACTGGTATTGTGAGTTGTGCAGACACTGCATATATTTATTTATTTATTTATTTATTTATTTATTTATTTAGCATATTGGGTGCTGATCCCACAATAGGGGTGCCCACTGACTGTAGGGTTGTTGCTGGGTTTTGGTTTTTTGCTTTGTTTTGTTTTTTTAACTTCTGAGTTTCTGAAGAACCCCAAACTTCTGAATCTGTGCATGGCAGACTCGCTCCCATCCTTGTTTCAGGGTTTGTCCAAATCTTTTGCACACCCTTATCCAATACCTTCTACATTCAAAGCATACCATTCAGCTTTGGTCAGTTCCCCAAACAAGAAATGTATCTGTGCAGTTGCTCCCTCCATTAAAGTTAGTGGTGACATCCACATATGCGTGAGTTCTGTGCACACAAGAAATCATTGTTATCAGGCCAAAAATCTATCTCCCTTCTGTAACATTTACCTGGCATCAAACAATCCTATTTACTTGTCATTTTTGTAAGTATCAGGGTTATGTTTCCCTTAACAAAATACAAGGGGAAATGTGGTGTGGCACAGTGGTTAAGTTGTTTGGTTGAGAAACAAGGTCAAATCTCCACCCAACCACAAAGTCAGTGGTGGCTGGTGCTCATTTGGATGGAAGTAGGGAGCCCAACAGCAGGTGGAGTCAGTGCCGATGACAAGCAGAGAGTCAACTATTTCTAGATTTGTTCCCATCCTCCTCCCTGCTGAATTATTCAAGGGCAACATTGAAATTAATGAGAAGCAAGCTGGCAGTCAGTCCCACGCCCTGGACTGGATGTAAGTAAGAAGGCAGGAAGGTTAGGGCAGACTAAGCTTGATGTGGCAGTGTCACATCAGCCTTAATGGGCCAGCCTACACTGCACAAAGTGTGTTGGATGTGCTTCAGGCAGCCACGGTCTCTCAGCATAAACTACCCCATAGGGTTGCTGCTGCTGTGATGAGATCTTTGGTGAAAAGGGTGGAACAAAAATATTAATTATTAATAGTATGTAAATTGGAGGTGAACAGGTGAGGTGCTACATCATGATTATTAATGGAGATTAAGTGGAGTGGGGGGTTAACCTCGTTTATCTTTGTACTGCATTGCAATGTTGTTTCTGTTGCATGGGAAACTGTCTGTGATGCACAGATGATCTAGCTAAATTAGAATTAAAATTGGATTTAAAAAAATCCACTAAAAATGTAAGGGGGTGCAAAAGGACAACACAAAGGGCAATCTTTTAAATTTTCATTTCCAATTCCAGCCATTCTGAGCCAAATGAATAGAAATCAGATAAGGTTCATTACAGCTGCAATCCATCCAGAAAAGCTGGAATGGGGGCGAAAAAGGTCCTGGTACATTAATTTTTTCACAGTTGCTCTCTAGTAAATAATGTTCTCCTTACAATTTAGACTCTCCAGGTCTAAGCTCATGGGACTTCACATTTGAAGCTGGAATTCTGAGCAATAGAAGCAAAGATTTATTTTCTTCCCCAGAATGGGTGGGGGTGTGATAAGGCGTCCCCTTCCTTTCCAAAGAATCAAAACATCCAATCCTCATTTATTTATTTTGATTTCAAATGTTGGGGTCCCGTGCTGATGCCCTCAAAATGAGGAAACAAGGACATTAGTCAAATGTAGAGTGAACCAAGTGAAGAATCAAATTTGTGATAAACTACCATGCCTTCATTTTCCCTTCATACTTGGAAGACACTAGGTTCTGAGTGAGTATGCCTCATTTAGCAACCTGCAATTCACAATTTGATGCTGACGGCACGACTTGAACAGAAAGCAAGAGCTGTATTAAGAAGATTTGAGACCTATTGTGAGCTGTGTGATCAACAGAGGCATGTGGTCCAGCAGCTCTTGCTGGATTCTACCACTCCAAAATGGGCATGTTAGGAGGAGGATGGAGGGAGCCAACTTATTTCAAAGGTTTGTTTTATAACAGGGGAGGCAGGAACTAAACAGAAAAAAAAAACCCATAGCATGGTAATTGAAAATTTAGGTGACAATCCTTCCCTATGTCATTCTTATTTTCAATACAATAGATTTTAAATGGAAGGAGTATGCAAACATGCAATTCTGCAGCAATGGAATTCTAAAGCAGTGGTGGGGCCACATTCATTTCTGAGCAACCTTCTGAGGGCCACATGTCAGTGGCTGGAGGAGCCAGAAACCAAATATGGGTAGGGCAATTAATAGAATTTTTTCTTATGTACAATAGGCTAGTTAATTCACACATACTCATGCCTCTCTCTCTTTCCTCCATCCAGGTAAGCAAGAGTTCAAGGGAGCATTTCAGCCAGATAAGGACACTCAGGGATGGTGCAAAGCTGGGCTAGGGAGGGAATGTGGGTGAGGAGGAATTATGGTCTGGGGTGAGCCTCAGGAGCGAGATAGGGAGGACTAAAGGGCCACATTTGCCTTCCTGGGCTTTGGCTTCCCTAACTCTCTTCTAAAGCCTTACAGTCAAGCAAAAGCTGCATCACATTGTGTCAGAGAGTCTGTGCTGAGCCTTAAGTAGCAGAATGCAAAACAAAGTCCTTGGACAATTTTTGGAAAGGATGTTGGGTGATTGTATGTCACTCTATGCATGCTCAAAGGAATTTACTATGGCTTTAAATGTTCTGGGTTTGTATCTTGACATTTAAAATTCAGTCCAGTGCTTAACCCTGGCTCACATTAGCCCCTGCTGCTGTTCCTGTCCTTTGTTCTTAAGGGCTGTGTTTCCTTCAGTTCCTTCATTTGGCAAATACATTAAGCTAGAAGGTAGTCTGAATCAAGGCTCTTTCAAAGTCTTTCTTATGTCTCAGGAGGCTTCCTGCACTGCCTTAGCAGCAGCTGTATCAAAACTAATCTGAGTCATTACAATTTAGGATCAGATTGGCTAGAGATAAGATAACTCTGGTTTATAATAACCTATAAAGATTTATGACGATTTATTCACCTTCCCTAGGTAACAGGCTGCTCATCCCCAGCAGACCCACAGCTCTTTTCTGTTAAAAGGTCACTGAAGAAAGAACTCTGAAATGGCAGAAAATAAAACCACTAATCGGCACATTTCTAATAAAACTATCATGCCTGCTAGAACCAGAGGGACATCAAATGCTAACAATTTCACATCCCATGTGGCACCATCTCTTGAAAGGACTAACAAGATGGGTTTTTCATGCAGTACTCCAATAAATCAAGGATCATTAATCAACCCTTCCTTTAAAAAATATAAATTATTGGGGGGGTGGGAGGAAAAGGAGCTTTCTGACAAATATCATGCATAGCCTAAATGTTGAAACTTGGGGATTCTTTCTGTTCACCCTGAAGAGACAATTAAAACATAGAAACAATGCAAAATCTGGAATTGTGCAAAGGTAGAGGAGATCTGTATGCTCTCTGTTTCTCAGCATGTGTTGTTGGTATCCATCTGTCTCGAGTGACAATGTTCACTATCGGGGGTAAAGTCACACCATTGGAGAGTTACAGTGCCTACTGTGGCTGTAGATAATAATACAGGAGAGACAGGTTACCCCTGCTAAAAACTGAACCCTGGTAGACCTTCATTTTGGTATTGGTCATTAGCATTACATTATCCCATGTCCTTTTGGTTAGACTAGCCACTGCTGTAGCTGCCTTACCAATATACTTGTCCAGCTCATCATAAATGCTAAGGTTGTTTGTTATGGTGGGCCGAGGTACACAAAATTGTCTACCACCTCAAGTGTGTGGTCACCAGTGCTAATGTGTGGAGTGCTGGCAACACCCTGACTCAGGGTGTTGGTCTTTGTCAGGCTAATGGTGAGGCTTGGGCATGCAGGCTTGAGCAAAATGGTTGATGAGGCTCTATAGAGGTTCTTTGGAGTGCACTGGCAAAGCTGTGTCATCTTTGTTGTCTCCAAACAACATTTCTTGGATAAGAACCTGCTGCAGTTTTGTCTTGGCATGGATACATGCCAGGTTGAGCAGACCCCTGTCACTCCTTGAATGGAAGTCCACACTACAGTGGTACCTCGGGTTACAGACACTTCATGTTACAGACGCTTCAGATTACAGATGCTTCAGGTTACAGACTCTGCTAACCCAGAAATAGTACTTCAGGTTAAGAACTTTGCTTCAGGATGAGAGCAGAAATCGCGCGGTGGCAGTGCAGCTGCAGCAGGAGGCCCCATTAGCTAAAGTGGTACCTCAGGTTAAGTACAGTTTCAGGTTAAGAACGGACCTCCAGAACGAATTAAGTTCTTAACCCAAGGTACCACTGTATCTTCATTCAAACTGAAGGCATATGAGAACAACAGTGGGAATAACATGCCAAAGAAAGTTGGGGTAAGAGCACAGCCCTGTTTCATGCCACTGTTTATAGGGAAGGTGCCCGAGGTTGTACTGTCATACTGGAAGGTGCTCCATTTTCATGGAAGGATATCATATTGTAGAGCTTAGGTGGGCATCCTATCTTGTTGAGGAGTATGAAGAGTCCTTTTCAGCCAATGTGGTGGAAGACCTTCATCAGGTCTATGAAGGCAATGTACAGATGGGTATCTTTGTTTTTGGCATTTCTCCTGCAGCTGACACAGTGTGAAAATAATGTTCACTGTTCACCTCTGAACTTTAAAACCACATTGTGACCTGTCAGTGAGTGACTGTAATCTGTTAAGAACTACAGGGGCAAAGGCTTTACCCACAGTACTCAGCAGGGAGATTCCATGGTAGTTGTTAGTCATGGTGGTCACCCTTGTAGAGGATCACAATGCTGGAGTTGTTCATGCCTTGTGGTTTGGATCCTGTTAATGAACACTGCAAGAGAATGCAGAACTTATCAGAATGATCAGCCTTCTCTACTGTACTCCTGGCGAGACAGGATGGTCAGATCTTCTGAATTCGAATCTGGCTCTTTGTTGGCCAGTGACCCACATTTTATAACACATACCTCATTAATACTTTCACAGCCACAGATAGAACCAACAATCCTCCAATTAACCCAGGAGGGAGAGGGGGATTGACAGTTAATGAAATACCATGGGACTGTTCCCCCCGCTTGGGGTGCGGTTGGTTGGGTTTTATCTTCTAGGGATACTTCCCCTATCAGACCTCCACCTCTTTCCCATACCATTTTGACCCAGGAGTCCTGGCCCAAGGATGACTTGTTATTGAGGGGATATTACCCATCTATTGGGGAGGCTAGTATGGGATCTGGGATTTCCACAATTGAAGGGCTAGGGAGGAATGGCGGTGGGGCTAGATATCTCTATCGGCGAAGGGTTTCGAGATGCAGTGATCCTCGAACCCCTTCCAATCTACGCCCCATCCCAAGGGATGAGGGTAGGGAGAGCAAGGATCACCCACCTCCGTCATTGGTGCTGTGCAATGCCAGGTCCATAGGCAACAAAACCGCCACCATGCGTGACTTTTTTGTCTCGCAGGGGATTGACCTGGCTTGTGTGATGGAGACCTGGGTACGGGAAGGCGAAGTAGTCTCCCTACATGAGATAACACCCCCAGTTTTCTCTGTCCTCCATCAATCGCGGACTGTGGGTCGGGGGGGGGGAGGAGTAGCGTTGTTATTCCGGGAGGATTGCTCTTTCAGAGCTCTGCTATCACCGGCGATCTCCGGCATTGAATGTGTTGGTCTCATGTGGGGCACCAAGGAGAGCTTGGCTGTCTGGCTGGTGAACCGACCACCCAGCACACCTGCAGCCACCCTGTCAGACCTGCTGGAGGTGGTGGGGGGCTGGGCCTTGGAGTTCCCAAACCTACTGGTTTTGGGAGACTTCAACGTCCATGCCGATGCCGCTCCCTCCTCACAGGCTCTGGACCTAGTGACTTCCATGGCAACACTAGGGCTCTCCCAGTTTGTTTTGGGCCCCACTCATCAAGCAGGCCACACGCTGGATCTGATCTTTGGGGCTGGCATAGATGTGATCATGCTCCCCGCTGTGGAAGTGCCATGGTCTGATCACTACGCTCTGAAAGCCAAGATTGACTTCCCGCTCCTCCCCAGCTCGGGTGGCGAACCTATTTGGGCTCGTCCGCGAAAACTGATGGATCCTGATAGATTCCGACAAGCCTTGCGGAACCCTGCTCCTCCTGGCGACTCATTAGATGACCTTGTTGAGGACTGGAATAACCGGCTCTTGGTAGCCATTGATGAGATCGTGCCTAAGCGCCCTCTGCAACCACGTCGAAACCGGGCCCCTTGGTTTACTGAGGAGCTCCGGAAAATGAAGCGGGATCTCAGACGGCTAGAGCGAGTATGGCGACAGACTCGTGACGGAGCCTCAAGAACATCTTATAGGACGCTTATGAAAGCCTATGAGATGGCTATGAAAGCTGCTAAGAAATCTTACTTTGCAGCTTCCATTGCATCCGCTAGCTCTCGCCCGGTACAACATTTTAGAATAATTAGGTCAATAACGTCCTTAGGAGGACAACCAAATTTAAGCACAAATTCGACCCACAGCTGTGAGGCATTCGCGAGCTTTTTTGCGGAGAAAGTCCTGCTGCTCCACCGTGACCTCCCTGCCAATTTAGATACAGTGACTGAACTGGAGGCCCCTCGACTGACTTCAGGTCCAGTGTTGGACCATTTCAATTGGATACTCCCTACTGATGTGGATAGATTCCTCCAAGTTGGTAGGCCCACCACCTGCCTCCTTGATCCGTGCCCGTCTTGGCTGATTAGGGAGTGTCTAGATGTTGTGCGGACCCCCCTGGTTGAAATTATCAATTTGTCCCTTGACACGGGGACATTCCCAGGGGAACTGAAGGAAGCAGTGGTGTGTCCACTCTTAAAGAAAACTTCATTAGATCCCTTAGACCTATCCAATTACCACCCAGTTTCAAATCTTCCATACCTGGGTAAGGTAATTGAGAGAGCGGTTGCTGAACAGCTTGGTAGGTTTCTGGAGGAAACATCTGCATTAGATCCATTTCAGTCCGGTTTCCGTCCTCGTTTTGGGACGGAGACGGCTCTGGTTGCCCTAACAGATGATCTCCGTAGACAACTGGATCGAGGCGGGTTGGGACTGCTGATCCTTTTAGATTTGTCAGCAGCCTTTGACATGGTCGATCATGATCTTCTGGACCACCGCCTCGCAGACGTGGGGATACAGGGCATAGCCCGTAACTGGTTGTGCTCTTTTATCTCTGGTTGGGGACAGAGGGTGGCACTAGGGAGGGAAATGTCGTCGTGCCACTCCTTGGTGTGTGGAGTGCCGCAGGGCGCAATTCTCTCCCCGATGCTTTTTAACATCTTTATGCGCCCCCTTGCCCAGATTATCAAGAGCTTTGGGCTGGGCTGTCACCAATATGCTGATGACACTCAGCTCTATCTGCTGATGGATGGCCACACCGACTCAGCCCCGAAAACACTGACCAGATGCTTGGAAGCTGTGGCTGGATGGTTTCGTGGGAGCCGATTGAAACTAAATCCTTTGAAGACAGAGGTCCTATGGCTAGGTCGGGATGGCATGGGGATGAGGGACCAACTCCCTTCTCTTGCGGGGGCCCAATTAGTGCCATTGCCTTCCGTTAAGAGTTTGGGTATAATCCTTGACGTCTCCCTTTCCATGGAGGCGCAAGTTACTGCAACAGCCAAGGCGACATTTTTCCACCTTCGCCGCATCAAGCAGTTGGTCCCTTACCTTTCCCGCCCCGACCTGGCCACAGTGATCCATGCGACGGTCATCTCCAGGCTTGACTACTGTAATTCGCTCTATGTGGGGCTGCCCTTGAAGCTGTCCCAGAAACTCCAGCGGGTACAGAATGCTACAGCGAGGCTCCTCACGGGGTCTCTGCCATGGGATCATATTCACCCAGTGCTTTTCAAGCTGCACTGGCTCCCGGTGGAGTACAGGGTCAGATTTAAGGTGCTGCTTTTGACCTTTAAAGCCCTTCACAGCCTAGGACCCTCGTACCTACGGGACCGCCTCTCCTGGTATGCCCCACGGAGAGCCTCAAGGTCCATAAATAACAACACCCTAGTGGTCCCAGGCCCTAAGGAAGTTAGACTGGCTTCAACCAGAGCCAGGGCCTTTTCAACTCTGGCTCCGGCCTGGTGGAACGCTCTGCCTCATGAGACCAGGGCCCTGCAGGATCTGATTTCTTTCCGCAGGGCCTGTAAGACAGAGTTGTTCTGCCTGGCCTTTGGCTTGGAGCCAATTTGATTCCCTCCCTCCCTCTCTTTCTTTTTTCTTTTCCTTCTCC